TCTCCCTGATCCTTAGTTTGCTTATCATTCTTTTCCTTGGTTTCCATCTGTAGTTGGAAACTAAGTTTCCCTGGAACTAAACCCGGCCAACTGTTTGTGGAATGAGGTGGATCTTTATCAGTCCTCGAGGCCTTGGTTTGTATAGATTTACTAATTTGCTTTGCCTGGAAGCTGAGAAGTGTCACAGTGTGGTAAGGCTTTCTCTTTTTAGCAGTTCAGAGGTTGGCATGGTGTCTTACTCTGGTTCAGAGAAGTGTGGAGAGTAGGAAGCATACCTCTAGGAGCAGATTCTGTCACTTTTGGCAAACGGCTTAGCTTTTGGAAAGCAAGGAGCTGGTAACAGCGTTAGTACTTTGTCTAGAGATGCCATTCATTGCTTTTTCCTTTGCTAACAATCTTTGTTTTGCAGGTTGATGACATTAATGGTGATAAAAATATTTCTTCTGCACAGATTGTTGGTGAGTGTGTTTCAGAAAGCTGCTGAATCCTGTTCTCTTAACTGTTCCTGTCTCCATAGCGTTCTGCTTGTGGTCCATATCCTCTTTTCTAACAAAACTCAGGACTTGCTTTGAAACATAAGCTATTTTCCTAGCCCCAGTCGTCCAAGTTCTGTTTATCTTTAGTCACTTCAAGTATTTTTTAAAATACGTTTGTATTTTTCATTATTTAAATATATGTGGGTTTTATACACATGAGTGCATGTCCCTGTGGAGGCTGGTTGATCCTTCTGGGGCTACAGTGATAGGTGGGAGTTTTTTGTTTTGTTTTTGAGACAGGGTTTCTCTGTGTAGCCCTGACTGTCCTAGAACTCACGTTGTTCAGACCTCACAGAGATGCCTCTGCTTCCTAAGTGCTGGGATTAAAGGAGTGTGTCCTCCATGCCTAGCTTGACATGGTAGGTTTGACATGGATGGTAGGAGCTGAACTTGGGGCTTCTGGAAGAGTAACATGTGCTCTTAATGGCTGGCCCATCTCTCCAGCCCTCCCCCATTCTTTTTTTTTACCTTTATTTAATTGTTTTGTGTGCATATGTCTATATACCGTGTGCATTTATTGCCCTTGGAGACTAGAAGGAGCATTGGATCCCCTAGAACTGGAGTTACAGACTGTTGCTGGGTGCTAAGGATCAAACCTGGGCCTTCTAGAAGAGCTTTTAACCACTGAGCCATCATTCTAGTCCCCCACCCTAGTAGGTTTTTGAAGTGAGGTATTAAAAAAATTGTGTCGTAGTTTCTGTTGCAGTGATAAAACACCATTATCAAAAGCAACTTGAGGAAAGGGTTCATTTGTTTATATTCCTATGTCATAGTCCATTGTCAAAGTCAGCTCAGGATCTGGAGCCAGAAACCGAAGCAGAAGCCACGGAGGGATACTGTTTACCTGCTCAATCTCATAGCTTGCTCAATGCGATTTCTTTTCTTCTTTTTTTTTTAAAACTTTTTATTGATTCTTTGTGAATTTCACATCATGTACCCAATTCCATTCATCTCCCTGTCCCTTTGTACCCACCTTCCTCCCATCCCTGACCCTCTCCCCCCAAAAAAAACCCTTATTGTGGAAGCTATAGTGTGTTACAGTGCATCCCACAGTATATCCTTTGGTCCACACTTCTTTGCTTGCAAATGTTCATTCTCATGTGTCATTGGTATGGTTCAAGGCCTCTGGTCTCTGCTACCCTAGCAATACTGGGTCCTCACTGAGACTCTCCTCAGATAGTGTGTCACTGCCCTATGTCATGGAGATCCTACAGCTTTGGTTCTGTAGGACAGGCCCCTTCACATGCTCCAGCAGTCATAGATGGGGTAGATGTTGGCTTCAAAGCTCTGGACTGGGCCTTGGTGGTAGCTGAGCTGGTCAGCCTGCCATCTCTCTCTCACCCATACCATCAGGGCAAGCTTTCTAGCACTGCTCTGGCTGGCTAGCCCAATGGTGCCAACTCTCCCACTCATGCCCTTAGGGCCAGCTCATCCATATCCATGCCAGCATAGCCAGCTCTATTGTTCAGCCCAACTTCTTTATCTATCTATCTTCCTTTCTTCCTTCGTTCCTTCCTTTCTTTTTCTTTCTCTCCTTTCTTTCTTTCTTTCTTTCTTTCTTTCTTTCTTCTTTCTTCTTTCTTCTTTCTTCTTTCTCTTTCTCTTTCTTTTTTTTTGTTGTTGTTTTGTTTTTTGAGACAGGGTTTCTCTGTGTAGCCTTGGCTGTCCTGGAACTCACTCTGTAGACCATACTGACCTTGAATTCAGAGATCTACCTGCCTCTGCCTCCCGAGTGCTGGGATTAAAGGCATGTGCCACCACTGCCCAGTTCGGCCTGATAATACCTACCTAGGGAAGACATTGCCCACAGTGGGAGAGACCTCTCACATTAATCTGGTGGAGGCATTTTTTTAATTGAGAGTCCCTTTTCCCAAATGATTCTAGCTTGTGTCCAGTTGATATAAAACTAGCCAGCATAAAGGGCAAAATAGGGACAAAAAATGGGTGAATTTTCATAAAGCAGACATGTCCATGTACTTACTCAGTAAGTTAAAAAATAAAGTGCTAGGGCTGTAGAGTTGGCTCACTGGTTAAGAGATCTGGCTGTTCTTTCCAGAGGACCAGGTTCAGTTCCTAGCACCCTCAGGGCAGCTCAGAATTGTCAGTAACTCCAGCTCCAGGAGATCCAACATCCTCACACATGCAGGAAAAATACCAATTCACACAAAATAAAAATAAGTCATTGAAAAAAAAAAAATGCAGTGCTCCTAGCACCCCGGAAAGCATGTCTAAAATTAGAGAAGGTGGGTGTTGTGATGCACTGGGAGTCTGGGGCCATAAGCTCAGTGGTGTGGTACTTGCCCAGCATGTACAAATACCTGGACTTGATCTCCAGCATTGGAAGAGGAGAAGGAAGAAAAGAGCAAAATGGAAGACTGTATACAGAACAGACTTCTACTGTTACACCAGATAGTACTAGTGTTAGCATGACCTTGGGCTTCTTTATCCACTTGCTTCTCCCTCCCTGGTGCTGGCAGTTACAGGCATATGCCACCATGCTCAGTTGTCTGCAGTGCTTTGTGTATGCCAGGTACTCAGCTAACTGTGCTGCATCCCAGCCTCTCCTGCATTCCCCCCCTGCATTTTTTTTTTTTTTTTTTTTTGTCCTTGTGGGGATTTTGGTGGTAGATTTGTCAAAGGATGGCAGAGTCATTTTTCTGCCATTTGTAACATTGTGCTCTTTGCCCTCATTTAATTAGGACCCAAGCCAGATGCTCCTGTAAAGCCCCCTTCCAGAACTGTGGACAATCACAACACCTTTGTACTGCCAGAGTTGCCATCTGTGCCAGACACGCTCCCAACAGCATCTGCGGGAGCCAGTACCTCGGCGTCAGAAGACATAGACTTCGATGATCTTTCCCGGAGATTTGAGGAGCTAAAAAAGAAAACATAGGTCTCTCAAAGTAGGCAACAACCACATTGTGGAAGCTGATACTGAACAGTTCTTCCTTGTAACAGTGACTCTCCATAAAATTCCGGTTTCATCTGTTAACTGTCACTGAGCACTCTTCCTTGGGGCTCTCCTGCTGCTCTACCAATTGTGTTGCTTTCCAGTTCTCTAGTGATACTCAAAGACTAACAACTAGAGATTCTGGCTGGAGCAGTTGGCTCCTGTTCGCTCTCCTGTTGTCTGTCTTCTTGTCACATGGATCCTTGATTCTTTCCTGGACATTCTATTCCCAGGGAGTGAGAAGAGAAGTACTGTGGTAGAGTTGCCAGAGGCGGCTGGAGCATGGAAGAGAGTACCCTGTGATGTGTCTCAACCTTGACTTGTAAATACATCCCTCTGCATGGGGTGATTGTAGAGAGAATCAAGGCCACTGTGTGTTTTCTTAAGTGAGTTCGAAGGTGGCTCAGGAAGCCAATATCATGGTTCCTGGAAGCTGGGCCCTCTCATTTACATATACACTACTCCTTGCTGCAGGGTACTGTTCTACCTGGATCCAGTTGCAAAGTTCATTTGGAAAAGTTCTCTCTTGGTTCTACTGGATTCTCAGGGAGCCCTCTGTGGCCTTTTGCTTTGAGTGCTGTGTTTCCTTCAGGAAAGAGCAGCACTATAGAATTTGTTTTCCCCATAGCATGTTAGGAAGGAAGCACAGGTCCATCTAAGCCTAGGGTGGGCTTCCAGTTGCCTTAATAGAAGTACTCAAGTCTCTTGGGTAGAGATCTGGAAGCCCACAGGAGAGGAGGGGTACGTGTTTTCATTTGAAAACTTTAATGATTAAAGGAACCTTTACAAACTGTTATCTTAAGTTTTAGTGCCATGCAGCTGTAGTTCACTGCTTTCCTGGGTGGATGAGACTCTTTAATTCTTATGTGCTTCTTTGCCTACAGCCAAGGCTCTCCTTCCCCAAGAGGTTAGCTTTGGGACTAGAAGATGAGATTTTTGCTTATGTGTAATATTTCTGTACATACCTGTTTCAGGCAACTTCAGTGTTTTTGATTTGTTTTGTATCTCATAGCTCAGTAGCTGCTAATAAAGATCCCATGTCCTGCTTTCTCTGGTGTTGTCAATTGAATGAATGTGGATTTTAGTGGAGAACGCTTTGCCCAGGAGACCAATATTAGTGTATGAGCTAGATCCAGACCCTCAGGACTGCAGGTGCCCGGGGCTGTTGGGGTTCATTCTCCCTCTAGAGTGAGCTCAGATGGCGTCCATGCCTTTGCTTAGCTGCTACTCTACCTTTAATAAGCTGCGGGCGAGCACACTCTTGGGGCCTGAGTGCTGAGCATTCTGTTACCTGCTGGTTGGCAGTGGAGCAGTTTTGTGCTGTGTTCTTAGGGTATCATTATAACACTGCTGAAATCCACCAGCAAGATTGTGGAGACAAGGGGCTTTTGATTCTCACTAACATAAAGTGCTGTTCCTGTGATGAAGTGTAAAGTATTATCAATACAGTAAAGTGTAAGCCCTGCCAGGTGGTAATGAAATTAAGAGCGTTCGTTCATTATAAGACACCGATGTCAATACCCAGTGTTGTCCGCATGCTTCTCAGATGAAGGATTCTGGTGCTGGCGGATTCCCAACAGACTTGAGAGCTTCTGTAGTAACATGTCTGTCAGTGTAGCTTCTTTCTGAGTATTTGAGGACAAAAAGAGAAAAGCACTGAACTGAAATCGTAGGTCAAAGTGCTAAGGATACCCCTCCAAACAACACCACAAATACGTGGTGAATACTGAAGATACTAAGTCTTTAATAGCTTACTGTCAGATGTTGGGAATGTGTACTGAATGAATGGTTGAAGACTAGCTGTTTACGTCTGGTTATAGAATACAGTGTCTTGGCAATTCTTTTTAGTAGGAAAGTAGTTGAGACCACTTGAGAGAACTTTTGCATTATGTCAGTTTGTAATGTCTCGGGATCTTTGTAACCCAATTGGCCTTGCACTTAGTCCTATCTTCACTTCCAAATGCTAGGATTATAGGTGTGTGCCACCATGCCTGTACTTTTTGTTTTTGTTTTGTTTTGTTTTGTTTTGTTGAAACAGTGTTCCTCTGTAACAGTTTCTGTCTATCCTGGAACTTGTTCTGTAGACCAAGTTAGACCAGGTCTCTGGCCTTTAACTCCTAGAGATCCGCCTGTCTCCTCCTCCCAAGCGCTGGGGCTAAAGGCGTGCGCCGCCACTGCCCAGTCCCCGCCTGTATTCTTAAAGCAGCAGTTTTCTCATCCTATGGTCTGTGACCCCTTTGTGGGTGTCGAATGACCCATTCACAGGAGTCGCCTAAGACCACCGGAAAATACAGATATTTACATTACGATTCATAAAAGTGAAATTATAGTTACGAAGTAGCAATGAAAATAATTTTATAGTTGGGAGTCACCACAACATGAGGAACTGTAGTAAAGGGTCCCAAAGGTTGGAAGGTTGAGAACCACTGTCTTCAAGCATCATTAAGCTTCCTAGTTATAGGAAATTGTGATGGTTAATTGTTCAGTTACTGGGTCAGGTACTCACCGAAAGGGCCTTCCTTTCTTTTCCAAAGACAATGAGAATGGCGGAAACAAAAAGATTAATGATCACAAACCCCATCAAGATGATGCTAGTGAAGACCAGGAAGGAGCCCAGAATTGGGTGTAGAGCAATAACCTGGGAAGACAGGAAGGCCTCTTGGAATTTGCTTTACAAACTGCCAATATCTGGGATTTATATCTAAACACATGTTTGAGTCTGCTAAAACTAGGGAGAAAATGATTCAGAGGAAAATCTAATTGGATATGACATGAATTAAGGATATTAAATTTTAATTTCTCAAGACAGGCGCAGTGGCACACACCTTTAATCCCAGCACTTGGGAGGCAGAGGCAGGTGGATCTCTTTGATTTCGAGGCTAGTCTGGTCTACAAAGAGTTCCAGGACAGCCAAGGCTACATAGAGAAACCCTGTCTTGAAAAAAAATTTTTTTTTTTTCTCAGCTTTTACAAGAAAAACAAGTAAGTAATAGGATTGTGACTCAAATCCTGGTTAAGTTTTGGCAACTCTGGAAAAAAAATGTCTAAACACGAAAGCTCAGGGTAATGTGCATGTGGAAAGCATAAGGATCATAAAGCCTGCCAGCCATTTGAGAAGCTTCTCTGGACACAAGAGTCTTCCAGGTAAAGGTAAGAAAAACTGGCTTTTGGCTGGGGTAGAGTTTATGCAAGGATTTGGAAGGAGGAGGGAAACTGACTGAATACATTTCCTCCCACCACTGTCTTGTAAGTTTTAAGAACTGATGGTTAAGTTCATTTCTCCTTTAAGAGATGGTGTGTGGTTCCCCTTTGCTCTTGCCATTCATTGCTACTATTAGCCTGTTGACCAGTGACTCCCTTGTGAAAGCTGCTGCAACCACAGCAGTATAGCAGATAACTGCTGATTAACCTGTGTGTAGGCGGTAATCTTTGAATTATGGGTATGCCAGCTAGTTTTAGGTCAGCTTGACACATTGTAGTCACCTGAGAGGATGGAACCTCAATTGAGAAAATGCCTCCATAAGATTAGGCTGTAGGCAAGCCTGTGTTTTCGTAATTCGTGATTGATGTGGAGGGCCTGGTTGTTTGTGGGTGGTACCTCCGTAGGCAGGTGGTCCTGGGTTATATAAGAAATCAGACTGAGCAAAGCCATGAGGAACAGCAGTTCCCCATGGCCTCTGCATCAGCTCCTGCCTCCAGGTTCCTGCAGGCTGGAGTTTAGGCCTTGTTTCCACCAGTGGACTGTGTAACCTGATGAAGCCCTTCCCTCCCAGCCTTCTTTTGTTCATGGTGTTTGATCACATCAATAGAAACCCTATGACAGTGGTCTTCATGGTAAGTAATTGTACAAGTGTTGCCAGTTCCACTAATTTCCTGATCACATAAGGACCCATATTGTTGTAAATAAAAAAATATAAGATGTGTTGAGCTATATAATCTTTATTATTGTTTGCCCTAGGATTATCATGGCAGTATTTTCTAACCCCCTATCACAAATAATAAGACAACAGATACCTGTTAGATTTTCTATTTGCCTTATTTACCTTGGGCTGGACTGAGATTCCTACCAATGCTGTCTGAATATCCTCACCATCCATCTCCCAGCCCCCATCCAATGCCATCCACCTTAATCCTCCTCCTCTGGTCTACCTTCCACCCATAATCCTATGGTACTTGCTTGTAGTCTTCATCTGGGCCTTTTTACCCTATTATTGGAGTCCTTCCTCCAGACACACATGATTTTTTTCTCAAGGCTAACCCATCATGGAGTCCTCTTCCTTACTTTCCTCCTGTCCATTTGTTTCCCGTGATTCTCCTCAAAAGCCTGGGAACCTAGCTATTCCTAGCCCATTCTGCCCTGCCTAGGTACAGGCTGTTTAACCAACCAACCAGTTATGTCTTGTTTTAGGTTTACACAAACAAGAATAGATGTATCCAGTGGGCAGTAACCAGCTCTTCAGGGCCAGTAATTAGTATTAGACCAGCCTCCAACAGACCCAAATCTTCATAAGATGCCTATTTGAAGTTTTCCCTTTACTTCATTTAATTTTGCATAAGTTATACTTATGATATTGTGTGGCTTTTAAAAAATAATTTTATTAATGCTCTAACCAGTATACCTAATTCAAACCTGATTGTGTGTGTATGTTTGTGTGTGTCCATTATGTAATATAGGAAGACAGGGATTTATGTGGGTGAGGGAGGAGTAAACTCAGCAAGATGAGTGTTAACTGTAAACAGAACTAGTTGTTTCTGGCATTCCGTTTGGTTACTTATGTTACAGTTTCAGAGGGCCATCAGCAGCTTATGCTATTCTGGCCAGGTGTCCTTTGGCAGCAAGATGAGGATAACAGGGGAGGAGGGGCACACTTGCTTAGGAAGCAAAAGATGAACGGGGCAATGTTGTGCACAGGCGTTACTTTAAGACAAGGGAAAGGGATGTAGTTTCTTTAGCCTGTGCAGTGGGAGGCTGCAGGTTGAGCAACCCTACCCCATCCCACTAGTAAAGCTGCTAAGCTGAACATGAATCTGAACTAACTTAGATTGCTTTTACTCTATCTACCTATCTATGTATCTTACCTCCTTGTGGTTAGAAATTCCCACCAAGAGACCAACAATAGTCACTGTAGAGCTGAAGAAACTCCGATAGTCAGAGATGCTCCATCCAAACAGCAGGTTGAACTGAACAGGAAAAAGGCCAGTCAGTGGTAACCAATCGAGTTTCTGCCCTGAGGTGCTTGATATGGCCAACAGAAGCAATGAAAATTCTTTGTGGCCATTCAAGTTACTATGACTACAAGATTTATCTGATCTCCCTCCTACATCTGATTTTATTTTGTCTGTATCTTAGAGGCATGACAAACATCTGGGTTTAAGACGTTAAATATGGGCCAGGCATGGTGGCACACGCCATTAATCCCAGTGGTTGGGAGGCAGAGGCACTCTGATCTCTGTGAGTTTTTGAGGTTAGCCTGGTAAAAAAAATACAAATTAAATATGGAACATGACTAAACACAGCTTTCCTATCTGACCTTTTCTCAAAAACCCACTGCTAATCAGATGGTTTTCTGTGCAGTGGCCTTTGCTGAGGGGAACAGCCAGGACGGAGCCCTTGGGGAAGATGCTGGGCCTTGGGGCTTACAGTCATAGCATAGCTGCTCAGCAGGATCATGATGATCAGTATAAAGCCCACCACCTCATCCCAGGCCGTGTTCAGTGTCTTGCTGATGACCTGCAACTGGGCATTATGTCGCAGCAGGTCCCACAGCTGCACAGTTGCCAGCAGAACCAGGAAGCCCATGAGGTGAGTGACTGCAGAGCTCACTGTCAGTGCCTCCTGGAAACTGATGAACCTGTAACCAAGGAAAGCTGGTACAGTTAATGACACGAAGCAGGAGCTGCCAGTACTTGTCAGCAGCCTCTCCAGGATTTCCTCTCCAGGTTAGCAGCTGAGCCAACTATGTCAGACACCTACTGTGGTGAAAACTGCTTTCTAGCATGGCCCCAGAAACACCGTGAAAACAGCTAAAGGCCTCTTGGCTGGGCGCTATTTTGAAAAGCCTTTCAAAGCAGCTCCTAGCCGTTTTTTTTTTTCTTCTTCTTCTTCGTTTATATTGATCCTAGAAATGAAGACCAGCCTTCACAGTTGTTGGAGTTGAAATCTCTCAAAATCAGAGTTGGTCTAAGGAGCTATCTATCACCATGGCTTGTTTTCTAACACCCCTGTGTTCTCTAACAGTAGAGACACTAGTGAGCTGTCTTACTGAGAGTTTAAAAAGGTGAGAGATTTACCCCACAGTTCAGCTTTGTTGTGTGAAGTACATAATTTTATGTCACAGCAACCGTTTACTTGGAGAGAGACGCCTGTAGTATAAGCAGGTTGGCAAACACAAGTACTCTGTTACCTAAGGCCTAGGCCAGTGGTTCTCAACCTGTGGGTTGGATACCTTTGGCAAGCTTTTATCTTCAGAAATATTTACATTATGATTCATAACTATCAGAATGACAGCTATGAAGTAGCAACGAAAATAATTTTACACTTGTGGGTCACCACAACATGAGGAACTTTATTAAAGGGTTGCAGTGTGACGGAGGTTGAGAACCAGTGGTCCAGGCAGTGCCACACAACAGCCTGGAGCTCAGTTTCTACAACCCTTTGGGCTACACAGACCCACTATCCCAGTGTAGACAGTTCAACATAGAGCTCCGTGGGACAGTTCTTTGGAAAGGTTTTAGATCTCAAGCCTTTAGCTTTGGAAATACTTGATCTAAAAGTGCCTAACAGCCTGATAAAGGGTAATAGAAAAAAAATGCATGAAAAGCAGCCATTTGATGTTGGAAAATGTGTCTCGTACTGGGTTTGTATCCTTTTTAAAGGATGAAGATCTGTCTCATCTTAGGCTTTCTGCATGCAAAGTAACCCCAATTCCAAGCCTTGCTCTGCAACTTAAATACATTATCTTCCATAGATGCTTCAGCACCAGGGCTAATGCAAACGCCTTATTAAGTTGTTCTTTCTCCTGTGGACACAAGTCCAACTTCTAGTTAAGCCTGCACTGTACAAACACAGCAGATCTGGTGGGGAAGTAGAAGAGTAGGAAGGACAGCGCAGGAAGTCGTGGGCATGAGGTAGTTGTGCCTGTGTGCCTCAGGTCCCTCCCTGTCCTGGCCCCTCACCTGTCCCGGTCCAGGCGGTACTGCAGCATATTTTTATGAAGTAGAGAAAGGCACTGCATGTTGAGCCCCAAGATGCTGAAGCTAACGAGGATTATGCTTGTGTCCAGAATGTTTCTTTTCCTAGTGAAGAACCCCAACCTCTGCCGCTTCAGCCGACAGCCCTGAGCAAAGACAGCACGGTCACCACTGTTGTCTGGACGACCCTAAAGAAAGTAGTCAGGTCACTTGGGACAGGCAGGCAAAGCACATGGGCTGTGGACGTGGGACTATTCTGCAGTCACTTGTACTGCTAACAGGGAAGTTGGCTGCTAATAATATTTTACCAGATACAATCATTCTTGGAGATTATAAAACTATTGTGCGCACTTAACTAAGTTATAAGCTCTAAAAAGTTTGTCAAGCTTGGCAATAAAATACTGTTTACAATAATTCCTGTTTTTTATTCTTTTAGTGCTTTTTTCCTAGCATACTTTAACATTTTTTATATAAGAGCTAAGAAACTGAATAAGGGGGGGCTGAGAGAGGGATCCATGGTTAAGAGGACTGGTAGCTCTTCCAGAAGACCCAGGCTCAGTTCCCAGCACCCACATGGCACCTCAAAATTAAATATAACTCCAGTTCTAGGGGGTCCAACACCCTCACACATATGTGCAGGAAAAAACAAAATATAACAATAAAACCCCCAAAACCCCATTGCACATAAAAATAAGTAAATAATTTTTTTAAAAAGAAACCGAATAACAGACTAGAGAGTTGGCTCAGTTGTTAAGAACACTGTTTGTTCTTGCAAAGGACTTGAGGTCAATTCCTACACCTAACTCCAGTTCTAAGGAGCCAGCACCTGAATTCTGTGGGCACATGGCACACACACATACACACAGGCAAAACTTTGATTTAAAAAAAGATAAGATTTTTTTTGGCTTTTTCTTTTTTAAAGACACTACGTGAAATAATTGTGTATTAAGAACCAACTCAATTTTTTGGACAATGCCAGAACTGAGAGAACTATTTTACTTGATAGAAATTAGCCCCAGAATCCAGGCCTTGAAAAAAGGACTGCAATGGCGATTGTATTTCCATCACCGAGCCCTCCAGAGGGGGTGGTCGGGTGGCTGTTCTCACATCTGATATTTTCAGTTCACCTGTATGAAGGTATAGTAACAGACAAGGAGGTAGTAGGTGACTTGTGAGATAATCCAGGCAAAGCCCCTCTCTGTTGACGGAAGGGAAGTTAAACTGTCCAGTCGTAGGGAGCTGAAGAAAGTCCCTAGTAAAAAGAACAAATGGAGTCAAGAGTCTAAGCTTTCCCTTTTCAAAAAACAAAACAACTTCAGTTCTTCCTCGATCACCACTCTCAAACATTTCAGCCTCCACAGTCTACTTAGCATTTCCTGTAGACCTATCCAGAACATTAAACAAATCACGTGGAGAAACGTCCATATCACTAAAGTTGGCAGAGAGATTCAAGGTAGGGGGGACGCATGAACTTTACGCTGTAACTGGTGTTTCTCTTTCAACGTAGAATGGCTGCAGAGATCAAAATCTGGGTCACTACTATTCTGTGAATGCTGAGATGCATTCGGATGGGCTACAAGGCTCCAGACGTGAGTGAAAGGACAGTGAGGATGGTGGAGATTTATGGTTTTGTAAGCTCTCATCATTTTATGAAAGGTCTTGTTGCTATTACTCCTGAAATGCTGGCACTGAGATGTACCCCTTGTAGGCAGAAAGTACATTTAGGAGCATGTCTTTTTAACTTGGTGCAGCTGCGTTTCAAAATTCAGGGACCCTTCCTCATGTCTTTGGTAGTTAAACAAAACCCTTTAAAGAACCCCAGGAAGCTTTCAGAGTCATTTAGAGAAGCAGTTCTCAACATGTGGGTCCCGACCCCCTTGGCTGTTGCATATCAGATATCCTGCATATGAAATATTGACATTATTACTCGTAACAGGAGCAAAATTACTGTTATGAAGTAGCAACGGGATAATGTTCTGGTTGGGGTGACCACAACCTGAGACACTATAGTAAAGAGTCACAGCGTTAGGGTGATTAGAAACCACTGATTTAGAGAGAAGCCTAGAAGCTGCTTGCTCTTCTGGTCTTGGAGGGAAAAGTCCTCCAATTAAGAGCAATACGCAGTGGTTAATGGGAGAACACCTGCAAGTCAATTCTAGGGTAGAGAAGGAAGAGGAGGGAGTTGGATCAAGGTAGACTTCCCGCACAGGAAAGGACCATAGTATCTAGCTATCTGTGAGCTGCTGCTATAACCATGACAAAAGCTCAGCGATGAACACAAGAAAGAAAATAGCGGGAGATGAGAGGTGTGCATGTTAGGTACATATGTGGGTATAGAAGCTAAATCCTCATAGAAAAAATAACATTTAAAACCGAAAGCCCACGAATAAAAATCATTCCAATTAAAAAAAACCATTCTAATTAAGTCTGCTGGAATGAATGGTATATGATGTGTAAAGAAGGCCTTGTCCTGTGTAAAAGGATCTTTTATTCAACGGTTTCAATGGTTGTCTAAAGCTAACTGTATCCATCTGCTCCTAGGCCCAGTCCTGGAAGCTTCTGGTCTGTGTACAATCTAACCTAGGCCTGGAACATTTGCAGCCTCTGAGACTTACTGCTTAATAAGCTCACCCTTTCTTGTTCTTTCTGAGCTCTGGGCTGGCAGGTTCAACTCAGCTGTTCTGGATCAAACTCCTTTCCCAGCTGACTTATTCAAACTGGCTTTTCTCTTGGCCGCTGAATTGTTCTGCTTGGCCTCAAAATAACTCCAACAATTCTTTTAAATCTGGCTCTTTCTCATTCTCTGGCTCATTCCATCTTGACCTGTGTTCTTTCTTTGCAACCTGTCTCTCTATTACTGTCCCAGTAAAACTTCATCTCCTCTCTGTGCATTGCCCATTAAATAGCTTCCCTATCTCTTCTCCTGAGAGTTGGGCAAATTCTATTCTATCAAATCTTTCTCTGCTTCATCACCTTTTCTGCCATTCAATTAGGCAACACTTTCAAACATAAGTGTTTCCTTCTACAAACAATCTTTACCTTCATTGTATGAAATTAAAGGCATGTACCACCGTGCCTGAATCTAAACTTTTCTTTACCTGAAACTTGCTCTATACGAGGCTGGCCTTGAATTTAGATTTACTTGTCTCTGTCTCCTGGATTAAAGGTGTATTTGTATTCCAGGGATCACACAGACCCAGAAGATCTTTAGATGTGACCTCTTGCCAGAACAGCCATGTTCTGAATTAACATTCTTCTACAGCCCTGAGATAGCCAGATTGCAGAGCAAGGAGAAGAGGCCTGCATACCCACACTGCTGGATTCCAGAATGAGAGTCACTGCACAGAGCAGATTCACATTGGCATTGAAGACCATAAGTTCCATCAAGAGGGCTTTGGTGCGGTGATCCAGCCAGCGCCTCTGCTCCAGATGCTGCAGAACTCTGGGGAGACAGGGAAATGGAGCCCACTGCTTTCTACATTCTGTGCTGTAATGAAGACAGCCATTCTGGTGCCATGACATACCACATGAGAAGCCACATTCCTTGATCTAGTGTTTCTATAACAGACTTCATGAGTAGTAACACCCAGACTCCCATGATGGTAACGTGGATGGTTGACTAAGAAACAGAATATTCACAATTGTGTTCACACCAGGGGTGGAGACTGAGGAAACCCTATTTGATGTTTAATCTGCAAGGCAGGATTAATTTTATAAACATTGTCAACTACTATTTGAAACATTAAATACTCCACACCAACACCTGTCCAGTCCTGAGCAGTGAAAGAAATACAAACACCATTATTTGACTGACAGTGTTTTTGAGTAATTCCTTGCTGCTTTAACTTTGAAACCAGTTTTATTTTAAAATTTTATTACATTTATTGGGGGTGTGTCTATGTCACGGTGAGTATGTGGAGGTCAGAGGACAACTTGAAGGAGACAGTTCTATCATGTGGATCCTAGGGATCCATCTCAGATCATCAGAATAGGTGGCAGGTATCCTTAAATGCTGAGCCATCTTGCCTGCTCAGAAAACAATTTAGACTTTTCATTCACAGGGAGAAAGACTATCAGGATTCACATATTAAACTACTCTTTAAATTCCTGACTATTTAATTTGGACATCTTTGGGTTGATGTTCACATCATGGTTCACAAAGGGCAATGTTTCCATGTACATTTGAAGATCACAGTGTGTCTCAGAGAGTTCACCTGAGTGCCACTGCTCCTCCAATTGAAACTAAAATCTCTTTCCAGGTTAAGAAGTCTTTTTTTTCCCCCCCCAAGTTGACAAAGCAAAACATATCTTTAACCTGAAGCTGACCAAGAAATTTCTAGGGGCTGGAGAGATGGCTCAGTGGTCAAGAGCACTGGCTGCACTTCCAGAGGTCCTGAGTGCCCTCTTGAGGTGTGCAGGCATACATGCAGGCAGAATACTGCATACATGATAAATAAATAAATAAACAAACAAATAAATAAATAAAGTAATTAAAAAAGAAAAGAAATTTCTAAATTTTAATGTGTAGTTCCAGGAGCTGCAGTGATAGCTCAGTGGTTAAGACTACTGACTGCTATTCTAGAGGACCTGGGTTTGATTCCCAGCACCAGCCATACATACCACATAATAATAAAAACAAGAAAGGGCATATTTCCTTAGAAGTGTAAACTAGAAGTGTGTATAAGTACCAGAACCCATAGAGAAGCATGGCAGGAGCTGCTGGGACTTCTCACCTGGGCCAGATTCCTGGCTGGGTGTGACAGGCCTCCTGCTCAGGCCTACACTCACCTGGCTGCAGCACTGGAGTCTCTCCCAAGTCTTACAACATAACCTCCTCCTGAGTAAGTGGCAAATTCCCCTTGGATCGGGTAGCCTCCCAGTGACTCCTGACTCTGATAATGCCAAATGCTCTCTGCTTTGGTGACATTTGCATCCAGGGGCACCCAGCCAGCCCCGTAGTTCTCTCTGTCTTCCTGATGTTGAGGATGTGACTTCATTTGCTCATGGAGAGATACTGGGAAGAACATGTCATTACGAATGCGAATCTGGCGTAGCAAAACATTGCCCAGAAGAAAGGAGTTCCCGTCAGTAATAAATCCTAGTAAGAAAGTAGAAGAAACAACTAGAAAATTGTCTTGTTGCTAACTGAATGAGGCAACCCGTGTACACTTCATCAGCAACTGTGAAACATTTAGAGATACGAGCTAATGCAGCCAGACAAAAAGAAGTATAAAAACAAATGAAATGGTGTGATAAACTTATGAATGATATGTGTTCTCTAAATTATGAGGATCAGTGGAAAAGCTGCTAACTTCAGTGCTACTAACTGGCGAGCCAACCCTCCAGCCTGGGCAATAGCTTTTTAAAGTAAAAAATGTAGGGTGTTAGAGAGATGGCCAACAGTTGAGGGGCACTTACTACCCTTCCAGGAGATCCAGTCTGGTTCCCAGCACCCAAGTCAAGCCACACCTACACACCCACCTAAAAGTGGATTTAAAACCCTGTATATATAGGGTTAGAAATATGATTCGGTAATTAAGAGTAGTTGCTGCTCTTGCAGAACACCCAGGTTCAGTTCCCAGCACCCACATCATGGCTCACAACCACCTGTAACTCCACTTCCAAAGGATCTAAAACCCTCTTCTGACATGCACAGACTCCTGCGCACACACACACACACACACACACACACACATACACACAATGCATGCATTCATGCAGGCAAAACACATGCAAGAAATAAAAAAGTAAGTTTAAAAATGTGTATATACTCCAACCTAGCAAATCTTTTCCAAGGAATTTCTCAGCTACATTTGCCCCTGTGTGAGGTAATGAATGATATTAACAGTCTTACCTGAGTATAGAAGTTATAGGGCATCTGTACAACAGAGTTCTATATACAGGAACTCCTATATAACAGTTCTATATAATAAAACACTAGGGGCAGCCTCAACTATATTGATGGGGACACCCCCAGATAAACTAGGGGGAAAAAGCAAATTCATGACAATGCTTGCAATTTGCCACCATTTACTGTCATCTAATCACTTTCCAAACTCTCTGACCATGGCCCGTGAGAAACTGGGGAAAGGTCAGCTGGCTCTATCTATCTATCTATCTATCTATCTATCTATCTATCTATCTATCT